TGCCAAACGTGCTTCAACAAAGTACTGAGTAAAGGGTCTGAATACTTATGTAATTGTAATATTTCTGTTTTTAAAGTTTCTAAAAACCTGTTTTTGCTTTGTCATTATGGGGTATTGTGTGTAGATTGATGAGGGAAAGAAAACAATTTAATCCATTTTAGAATAAGGCTGTAACGTAACAAAAATTTAAAAAAGTCACGGGGTCTGAATACTTTCTGAATGCACTGTTTATACACACACACGTATAGATGTATGTGTGTATATATATATATATACTGTATATGACTCAGGGCCAGATCCATGGCTCAGATCCTTGTTAGGGGGTCGTAGTTGTGGTGTGGTTTCGCAGAACGGGGGGGTTGTGGTTGTGTTGTGGTTCAGTAGAACGGGGGGGTTGTGGTTGTGTTGTGGTTCAGTAGAACGGGGGGGTTGTGGTTTATTATAACGGGGTTGTGGTTCAGTAGAACGGGGGGGTTGTGGTTGTGTTGTGGTTCAGTAGAACAGGGGGTTGTGGTTGTGTTGTGGTTCAGTAGAACAGGGGGTTGTGGTTGTGTTGTGGTTCAGTAGAACAGGGGGTTGTGGTTGTGTTGTGGTTCAGTAGAACAGGGGGTTGTGGTTGTGGTTGTGTTGTGGCTCAGTAGAACGGGGGGGGGGGGTTGTGGTTGTGTTGTGGTTCAGTAGAACAGGGGGTTGTGGTTGTGTTGTGGTTCAGTAGAACAGGGGGTTGTGGTTGTGTTGTGGTTCAGTAGAACAGGGGGTTGTGGTTGTGTTGTGGTTCAGTAGAACAGGGGGTTGTGGTTGTGTTGTGGTTCAGTAGAACAGGGGGTTGTGGTTGTGGTTGTGTTGTGGCTCAGTAGAACGGGGGGGTTGTGGTTGTGTTGTGGTTCAGTAGAACGGGGGGGGTTGTGGTTGTGTTGTGGTTCAGTAGAACGGGGGGGTTGTGGTTGTGTTGTGGTTCAGTAGAACAGGGGGGGTTGTGGTTGTGTTGTGGTTCAGTAGAACAGGGGGGGTTGTGGTTGTGTTGTGGTTCAGTAGAACGGGGGGGTTGTGGTTGTGCTGTGGTTCAGTAGAACAGGGGGTTGTGGTTGTGTTGTGGTTCAGTAGAACGGGGGGGGTTGTGGTTGTGTTGTGGTTCAGTAGAACAGGGGGTTGTGGTTGTGGTTGTGTTGTGGCTCAGTAGAACGGGGGGTTGTGGTTGTGTTGTGGTTGTGTTGTGGTTCAGTAGAACGGGGGGGTTGTGGTTGTGTTGTGGTTCAGTAGAACAGGGGGGGGTTGTGGTTCAGTAGAACAGGGGGTTGTGGTTCAGTAGAACAGGGGGTTGTGGTTGTGTTGTGGTTCAGTAGAACGGGGGGTTGTGGTTGTGTTGTGGTTCAGTAGAACAGGGGGGGTTGTGGTTGTGTTGTGGTTCAGTAGAACGGGGGGGTTGTGGTTGTGTTGTGGTTCAGTAGAACAGGGGGGGTTGTGGTTGTGTTGTGGTTCAGTAGAACAGGGGGGGTTGTGGTTGTGTTGTGGTTCAGTAGAACGGGGGGGTTGTGGTTGTGTTGTGGTCAGTAGAACGGGGGGGTTGTGGTTGTGTTGTGGTTCAGTAGAACGGGGGGGTTGTGGTTGTGTTGTGGTTCAGTAGAACGGGGGGGTTGTGGTTGTGTTGTGGTTCAGTAGAACAGGGGGGGTTGTGGTTGTGTTGTGGTTCAGTAGAACAGGGGGGGTTGTGGTTGTGTTGTGGTTCAGTAGAAACGGGGGGGTTGTGGTTGTGTTGTGGTTCAGTAGAACAGGTGGGGTTGTGGTTGTGTTGTGGTTCAGTAGAACGGGGGGGTTGTGGTTGTGTTGTGGCTCAGTAGAACGGGGGGGTTGTGGTTGTGTTGTGTGGTTCAGTTAGAACAGGGGGGGGGGTTTGTGGTTGTGTTGTGGTTCAGTAGAACAGGGGGGGTTGTGGTTTGTGTTGTGGTTCAGTATAGAACGGGGGGGGGTTGTGGGTTGTGTTGTGGTTCAGTAGAACAGGGGGGGTTGTGGTTGTGTTGTGGCTCAGTAGAACAGGGGGGGTTGTGGTTGTGTTGTGGTTCAGTAGAACAGGGGGGGTTGTGGTTGTGTTGTGGTTCAGTAGAACAGGGGGGGTTGTGGTTGTGTTGTGGCTCAGTAGAACAGGGGGGGTTGTGGTTGTGTTGTGGCTCAGTAGAACAGTGAAGGGGTTCAATAAGCACAGATGACCATGCTTCAACCATAACTAACTAAGACAGCACAACATATCTAGTAACGTACGGTACTGTACCCCATTCAACAGGGCACATCTAGGTGTGGTAGTCAGTGGTCTATGGTCGTTGGCTTTAGCCGTCATAGCTGCTCTGTCTACAAAGCTTTGTGGCCGTTGACAAACCACAGAAATGTTAGTTATCCATAATAACACAGTGACTTTCACAACATTACTGGAAGGGAGGGCACAGGCTAGTCAATCACCACTGAAGACCATCAGAAATGAACACACGTACAGGTACTGCTCAAAAACAAACCCCTCCTTTAAAAATGATTGAAACTTGTTTAACATGCGCCAGTTAAAACATCTAAAATGTTAGTAAATCAGAACTAAAACAGATCTGCATGCTTGATATCCTTTAAACAACTAAGGAAACACATCTCATAACATTTGTTCTGTAACCCGTGGTTCTGGTTCTGAGGCCGGATGGTTTCTGAACATTAGAACTATTTAGAAAGCGCTAACATTTCTGCTTTCTACTTTTAGGGGGGGGGGGGGTCTCGTTTAATTTATTAACAGCCCAGAAGGCTGTGGTCAAATGTCTTGAATGCTCTGCTTAAGGATCACTCATATGATTTACATTTTAAATGCATTTGACCATTTTAAAGTCATTTTTCTGCGTAAAATAATGTGTTTAAGAGAAGCCTGTCAAAAGGAAGCATGCAGTTAACATCCATGATCCCATTCTCTGTGACAGGCGGGCCAGATATGGGCTGTGTCCCAAACGGGCACCCTATTCCCTATATAGTGCACTACTTTAGACCAGAGAATGGCATCCTATCCCCTATATAGTGCACTACTTTAGACCAGAAGGGCCCTGTTAGTGCACTATGTAGGGAACAGGGTGCCGTTTGGGACTCATCCATGGGGACAGTCCTCTTCCTTTATTTGACTACTTCAAACCATGACTACGGGCCTTTAACAGTATCTGCACAGCACTATATGGAGACCCCATCTTCAACCCGTCTGAAAATACCACGCAGAAACATTACAACTAAACACAAGTGTATCAAGCTTGAAAAACACATCCACATTATAACAGTAAAATAACTACAACAATTCTCTCTCTCTCTCTCTCTCTCTCTCTCTCGCTCTCTCTCTCTCTCTCTCTCTCTCGCTCTCTCTCTCTCTCTCTCTCCCCAACACACACAAGAGCTAGGAGGACCTAGTTGAGGGCAGTGGGTGTGTCCAGTACACTGACAACCAAACTGAGACTCCAGTTTACAGCCTTAAAACAGGAGATCTGTGTCCCAAATGGCAGCCTATTCCCTACGTAGAGCACTGCTTATGACCAGGGCCTATAGGGATTTGGTTAAAAGTAGTGCCCTATACAGGGAATAGGGTCCTGGGCCTTATCAAATACATGGAGAGTGGACTGGACCACATCATGACTGGTATCCCTGTCGATGTAGTTAGGTCTCTGCTGGGGATTGGTTAAAGAGAGGAGGAGGGAGGAGTCTGGAGAACAAGGCTGGCTCTCATTGGCCCATTGTCTTCAGTGTCATCATTTGAAGGCATGGCTCGTCTTCTTCATCAGTTTGCCCCAAAGTGGAGGAGGGAGGGGCTACTTGGATTCACCCAAATAAGCACTGGAAATAGAATGACAAAGACGGGTTAGTGATCCACACAGCATGAGGGGTAGGTTGGTGGATGTAACAGACGGGTTAGTGATCCACACAGCATGAGGGGTAGGTTGGTAGATGTAACAGACGGGTTAGTGATCCACACAGCATGAGGGGTAGGTTGGTGGATGTAACAGACGGGTTAGTGATCCACACAGCATGAGGGGTAAGTTGGTGGATGTAACAGACGGGTTAGTGATCCACACAGCATGAGGGGTAGGTTGGTGGATGTAACAGACGGGTTAGTGATCCACACAGCATGAGGGGTAGGTTGGTGGATGTAACAGACGGGTTAGTGATCCACACAGCATGAGGGGTAGGTTGGTGGATGTAACAGACGGGTTAGTGATCCACACAGCATGAGGGGTAGGTTGGTGGATGTAACAGACGGGTTAGTGATCCACACAGCATGAGGGGTAGGTTGGTGGATGTAACAGACAGGTTAGTGATCCACACAGCATGAGGGGTAGGTTGGTGGATGTAACAGACGGGTTAGTGATCCACACAGCATGAGGGGTAGGTTGGTGGATGTAACAGACGGGTTAGTGATCCACACAGCATGAGGGGTAGGTTGGCGGATGTAACAGACGGGTTAGTGATCCACACAGCATGAGGGGTAGGTTGGTGGATGTAACAGACGGGTTAGTGATCCACACAGCATGAGGGGTAGGTTGGTGGATGTAACAGACGGGTTAGTGATCCACACAGCATGAGGGGTAGGTTTGTGGATGTAACAGACGGGTTAGTGATCCACACAGCATGAGGGGTAGGTTGGTGGATGTAACAGACGGGTTAGTGATCCACACAGCATGAGGGGTAGGTTGGCGGATGTAACAGACGGGTTAGTGATCCACACAGCATGAGGGGTAGGTCGGTGGATGTAACAGACGGGTTAGTGATCCACACAGCATGAGGGGTAGGTTGGCGGATGTAACAGACGGGTTAGTGATCCACTCTGTTTCAGATATTCAGTCTTTTCTCTATTCACCTGGAACTACAGAAGGTGGTAAGAGCAACCCTCTTCAATCTCACACTAGGGGTGAGACACAGACAGGAAGAACACTGACAGGGAACCTAAATGAATAGAGTGGATCCTTACATTGTGTGTTGCCCCCCCAGGGTAGGGTGGTTTAGAACTGTCCAGCGCTGCTGGGGTCACACTGTAACAGACGCACGATGGAGGGGTCACTTTTAGCACCCTTAATGAACTCCTCCAGAGACAGTTTACCTGGAGAAACACAACAACAGGAGACAGTCAGGTTATATTAACCCTTAATGAACTGCTCCAGAGACAGTTTACCTGGAGAAACACAACAGGAGACAGTCAGGTTATATTAACCTTAATGAACTCCTCCAGAGACAGTTACAGGTGGTAATGCTAGAAGGCAGATCTGGGATTATTAACTGGTGGTAATGCTAGAAGGCAGATCTGGGATTATTAACTGGTGGTAATGCTAGAAGGCAGATCTGGGATTATTAACTGGTGGTAATGCTAGAAGGCAGATCTGGGATTATTAACTGGTGGTAATGCTAGAAGGCAGATCTGGGATTATTAACTGGTGGTAATGCTAGAAGGCAGATCTGGGATTATTAACTGGTGGTAATGCTAGAAGGCAGATCTGGGATTATTAACTGGTGGTAATGCTAGAAGGCAGATCTGGGATTATTAACTGGTGGTAATGCTAGAAGGCAGATCTGGGATTATTAACTGGTGGTAATGCTAGAAGGCAGATCTGGGATTATTAACTGGTGGTAATGCTAGAAGGCAGATCTGGGATTATTAACTGGTGGTAATGCTAGAAGGCAGATCTGGGATTATTAACTGGTGGTAATGCTAGAAGGCAGATCTGGGATTATTAACTGGTGGTAATGCTAGAAGGCAGATATGGGATTATTAACAGGTGGTAATGCTAGAAGGCAGATCTGGGATTATTAACTGGTGGTAATGCTAGAAGGCAGATATGGGATTATTAACAGGTGGTAATGCTAGAAGGTAGATATGGGATTATTAACTGGTGGTAATGCTAGAAGGCAGATATGGGATTATTAACAGGTGGTAATGCTAGAAGGCAGATCGGGGATTATTAACAGGTGGTAATGCTAGAAGGTAGATATGGGATTATTAACTTTCCATCAACAGGTGGCAGTACCGAGATTCATTATTCATCACACACCCTCCCAGACTCCCCCAACACACCCTCCCAGACTCCCCCCAACACACCCTCCCAGACTCCCCCAACACACCCATCCCGACTCCCCCCAAACACCCTCCCGACTCCCCCACCAACACACCCTCTCCCCAGACTCCCCCCAACACACCCTCCCAGACTCCCCCAACCACACTCCCAGACTCCCCCAACACACTCCCCCAACACACCCTCCCAGACTCCCCCAACACACCCTCCCAGACTCCCCCCAACACACACTCCCAGACTCCCCCCAAACACACCCTCCCAGACTCCCCCCAACACACACTCCCAGACTCCCCCCAACACACCCTCCCAGACTCCCCCCAACACACCCTCCCAGACTAGTCCTCCAGTACTCGTGATTGGAATAATGAGCCAGAGAAAGACAGCATAGTTAGTCTTCTCCCTCTAGCTCCTCCCCCTCTCTCTCATCTCTCTCCAATAGAGTTACAGTGTCTTCTCTGTTCAGTGTGATATATATATATATATATTTGTTTACCTTTATTTAAATAAGCAAGTCAGTTAAGAACAAATTCTTATTTACAATGACGGCCTACCAAAAGGCAAAAGGCCTCCTGCGGGGACGGGGGCTGGGATAGAGAATAACACCACAACACTACATAAAGAGAGACACCACAACACTACATAAAGAGAGAGAGACACCACAACACTACATAAAGAGAGACGCCACAACACTACATAAAGAGACACCACAACACTACATAAAGAGAGAGAGACACCACAACACTACATAAAGAGAGACGCCACAACACTACATAAAGAGAGAGAGAGAGACACCACAACACTACATAAAGAGAGACGCCACAACACTACATAAAGAGAGACACCACAACACTACATAAAGAGACACCACAACACTACATAAAGAGAGAGAGACACCACAACACTACATTCAGAGAGACCACAACACTACATAAAGAGAGAGAGAGAGACACCACAACACTACATAAAGAGAGACACCACAACACTACATAAAGAGAGAGACACCACAACACTACATAAAGAGAGAGAGACACCACAACACTACATAAAGAGAGACACCACAACACTACATAAAGTGAGAGAGACACCACAACACTACATAGAGAGAGACACCACGACACTACATAAAGAGAGAGAGACACCACGACACTACATAAAGAGAGACACCACGACACTACATAAAGAGAGACACCACAACACTACATAAAGAGAGACACCACGACACTACATAAAGAGAGAGAGACACCACGGACATACATAAAGAGAGAGAGACACCACGACACTACATAAAGAGAGAGAGACACACCACGACACTACATAAAGAGAGACACCACAACACTACATAAAGAGAGACACCACAACACTACATAAGAGACACAACAACACTACATAAAGAGAGACACCACAACACTACATAAAGAGAGACGCCACAACACTACATAAAGAGAGACAACACTACATAAAGAGAGACAACACTACATAAAGAGAGACACCACAACACTACATAAAGAGAGAGAGACACCACAACACTACATAAAGAGAGAGAGACACCACAACACTACATAAGAGACACCACAACACTACATAAAGAGAGACAACACTACATAAAGAGAGACACCACAACACTACATAAAGAGAGAGAGACACCACAACACTACATTCAGAGAGACCACAACACTACATACAGAGAGACCACAACACTACATAAAGAGAGAGAGACACCACAACACTACATAAAGAGAGACACCACAACACTACATAAAGTGAGAGAGACACCACAACACTACATAGAGAGAGACACCACGACACTACATAAAGAGAGAGAGACACCACGACACTACATAAAGAGAGACACCACGACACTACATAAAGAGAGACGCCACAACACTACATAAAGAGAGACGCCACAACACTACATAAAGAGAGACACCACAACACTACATAAAGAGAGACACCACAACACTACATAAAGAGAGACGACACAACACTACATAAAGAGAGACGCCACAACACTACATAAAGAGAGACACCACAACACTACATAAAGAGAGACCACAACACTACATAAAGAGAGACACCACAACACTACATAGAGAGACGCCACAACACTACATAAAGAGAGACGCCACAACACTACATAAAGAGAGAGAGACACCACAACACTACATAAAGAGAGGACCCACAAACACTACATAAAGAGAGACGCCACAAACACTACATAAAGAGAGACAACACACATAAGAGAGACAAAACACTACATAAAGAGAGACACCACAACACTACATAAAGAGAGAGAGACACACAACACTACATAAAGAGAGAGAGACACCACAACACTACATAGAGACACCACAACACTACATAAAGAGAGACAACACTACCATAAAGAGAGACACCACAACCACTACATAAAGAGAGAGAGACACCACAACACTACATTCAGAGAGACCACAACACTACCATACAGCGAGACCACAAACACATACATAAAGAGAGAGAGACACCACAACACTACATAAAGAGAGGACACCACAACACTACATAAAGTGAGAGAGACACCACAACACTACATAGAGAGAGACACCACGACACTACATAAAGAGAGAGAGACACCACGACACTACATAAAGAGAGGACACCACGACACTACATAAAGAGAGACGCCACAACCACTACATAAAGAGAGACGCCAACAACACTACATAAAGAGAGACACCACAACAACTAATAAAGAGAGACAACCACAACACTACATAAAGAGGAGACGACACAAACACTACATAAAGAGAGACGCCACAACACTACATAAAGAGAGACACCACAACACTACATAAAGACGAGACCACAACACTACATAAAGAGAGACACCACAACACTACATAGAGAGACGCCACAACACTACATAAAGAGAGACGCCACAACCACTACATAAAGAGAGAGAGACACCACAACACTACATAAAGAGGACACCACAACACTACATAAAGAGAGAGAGACACCACAACACTACATAAAGAGAGACACCACAACACTACATAAAGAGAGACACCACAAACACTACATAAGAGAGACGCCACAACACTACATAAAGAGAGAGAGACACCACAACACTACATAAAGAGAGACACCACAACACTACATAAAGAGAGACACCACAACACTACATAAAGAGAGAGAGGAGAGAGACACCCCAACACTACATAAAGAGAGAGAGACACACAACACTACATAAAGAGAGAGAACACCACAACACTACATAAAGAGAGACACCACAACACTACATAAAGAGGACACCACAACACTACATAAAGAGAGACCACAACACTACATAAAGAGAGACACCACAACACTACATAAAGAGAGAGAGACACCACAACACTACATAAAGAGAGAGAGACACCACAAACACTACATAAAGAAGACACCACAAACACTACATAAAGAGAGACGCCACAACAACTACATAAAGAGAGACACCACAACACTACATAAAAAGAGAGAGACACCACAACACTACATAAAGAGAGAGAGACACCATAACACTACATAAAGAGAGACCACAACACTACATAAAGAGAGCACCCACAAGACTACATAAAAGAGAGAGAGAGACACCACAACACTACATAAAGAGAGAGAGACACCACAACACTACATAAGAGAGAGAGACACCACAACACTACATAAAGAGAGACCCACAACACTACATAGAGACACCACAACACTACATAAAAGGAGACACCACAACACTACATAAAGAGAGACGCCCACCAACACTACATAAAGAGAGGACACCACAAACACTAACATTAAAGAGAGACAACACTACATAAAGAGAGACACCACAACACTACATAAAGAGAGACACCACAACACTACATAAAGAGAAACACCACAAACACTACATAAAGAGAGACGCCACAAACACTACATAAAGAGAGACACCACAACACTACATAAAGAGAGACACCACAACACTACATAAAGAGAGACACCACAACACTACATAAAGAGAGACACCACAACACTACATAAAGAGGACACCACAACACTACATAAAGAGAGACACCACAACACTACATAAAGAGGACAACCACAACACTACATAAAGAGAGACGCCACAACACTACATAAAGAGAGACGCCACAACACTACATAAAGAGAGACCACAACACTACATAAAGAGAGACACCACAACACTACATAAAGAGAGACGCCACAACACTACATAAAGAGAGACACCACAACACTACATAAAGAGAGACACCACAACACTACATAAAGAGAGACACCACAACACTACATAAAGAGAGACACCACAACACTACATAAAGAGAGACGCCACAACACTACATAAAGAGAGAGAGACACCACAACACTACATAAAGAGAGAGAGACACCACAACACTACATAAAGAGAGAGAGACACCACAACACTACATAAAGAGAGACACCACAACACTACATAAAGAGAGACACCACAACACTACATAAAGAGAGACAGACACCACAACACTACATAATGAGAGAGAGACACCACAACACTACATAAAGTGAGAGAGACACCACAACACTACATAAAGTGAGAGAGACACCACAACACTACATAAAGAGAGACGCCACAACACTACATAAAGAGAGACGCCACAACACTACATAAAGAGAGAGAGAGAGACACCACAACACTACATAAAGAGAGACACCACAACACTACATAAAGAGAGACACCACAACACTATATAAAGAGAGACACCACAACACTACATAAAGAGAGACCTAAGACAACAACACAACATGGTAGCAACACAACATGGTAGCAGCATAAAACATGGTACAAACATTATTGTCCACAGACAACAGCACAAAGGGCAAGAAGGTAGAGACAACAATACATCACGTGAAGCAGCCACAACTGGCAGTAAGAGTGTCCATGATTGAGTCTTTGAATGAAGAGATGGAGATAAAACTGTCCAGTTTGAGTGTTTTTTACAGCTCGTTCCGGTCGCTAGCTGCAGCGAACTGGAAAGAGGAGCGACCCAGGGATGTGTGTGCTTTGGGGACCTTTAACAGAATGTGACTGGCAGAACGGATGTTGTATGTGGAGGATGAGGGCTGCAGTAGGTATCTCAGATAGGGGGGAGTGAGGCCTAACAGGGTTTTATAAATAAGCATCAACCAGTGGGTCTTGCGACTGGTATACAGAGATTACCAGTTTACAGAGGAGTATAGAGTGCAGTGATGTGTCCTATAAGGAGCATTGGTGGCAAATCTGATGGCCGAATGGTAAAGAACATCTAGCCGCTCGAGAGCACCCTTACCTGCCGATCTATAAATAACGTCTCCGTAATCTAGCGTGGGTAGGATGGTCATCTGAATCAGGGTTAGTTTGGCAGCTGGGATGAAGCGTTGTTGTCTGAGTAAGAGTGACCTGTCCTCTCTAGCCAGGAAGCTTCAGTCACAGAGAATCAACATTATATAACTAGCTAGGCTTGGACAGTATCCCCATTTTCATATTGTCATACCATCCTCCTATCATCCCGGGATTGAGGGTATTACCGGCAGAGCACACAAGGGGGCGCTAAGAACGTGAGAAAAGCCCATTGGGCCTCTATTACCAGAATGCTAACAAATTTAGCACAAACTAATAACGAAATCACATGGACGCTGTTAGCTAAACGTACATAAATGAATTGCAAAGACAGACAAATCCAGCTCATAAAGTTATAACAAGCTAGCTGGTAGTACCCGGGAAGTATTTGGGGAGGAAAGGGGGCTTTTCAAGGGAAAGGAAAAAGAGAAATTTAGAAATAACAAAGTAGTTTATGCTTTTTGAAGGAAGAGAGGGGAAAAAAAAACAGAGCTGTGGAAGCGTGGGACAAAAATGGCCCCTGTACAGAGAAATAAAAAAGCTTGGATGATTTGGCAGAAAGTGCAACTTCATACCCCAGGTGGCCTTTTCAACAGAGGGGCTCACCGATAGATAAGACGCTATGGGTCACCCGCGGATCACTGATATTAGAACAATGGACTCACTGATAGAATTAGAAAAACTATGGACTCAGATGAAATTTTGAACGCTATGGGTCACCGCGGATCCCGTGATTGAAGCTATGGGTCCCCGAGAGGGTCACTATAGAATAGAACGCTATGGGGGCACCAGCGAGACCCACTGATAGATTAAACGTATGGGTCACCCGAGAGATAAGATGTATAGAACCCATGGGGGTACCAACAGAGACACTGAAGAATGAAGTGGGCTCCCGGAGATTGATAGATATTTTGAACGTATGGGCTCACCCGCGAGACTCATGATGATATAGAAAGTATGGGCTCCCCAGCAGAGATCATGATAGAATAGAACGCTTGGGTCACCAGCAGAGACTATGATAGTATGAACACTAGGGTCATGTAGAATAGAACGGGGCCACCGATAGATATAGAACGTATGGGTACCAAAAAGAGATAATAAGAAATATAGAACGTATGGGCCCCCACCCGAGAGATCAGAAGTATAGAACACTATGGGGGTCACAGCAGGGGATCATGATAGATAAGAACAATGGATCACCCCCGAGAGATACTGTAGATATAGAAACTATGGGCTCACCAGCGGACCCCTGAGGAAAAAGAAACACATGGGCTCAGATAGATTAGAACACTATGGACCATGTGATATAGAAGTATGGCTACGTAGAATTTTGAACGCTATGGTCACCAACAGAGATCAAGTAGATATAGAACCCCTAGGGTCACCAGAGAGACTCACATAGAAAGAACCTATGGGTCACCCCGGAGACTCATGATGATATGAAGCTAGGGCTCCTGAAGAAAGAAGCAGGGGCCCCACTGATAGTTGAAAAACATGGGCTCATGATAGAATAGAAAGTATGGGCTCACGAAGATATAGAACGCTTGGGCTCACCAGCAGAGACTCACTGATGAATTTGAAAGCCAGGACTCACTGATGGATATGAACACTTGGACTCATGATAGATATAGAACATATGGGGCCCCCAGCAGAGACCATGATGAATAGAACGCTATGGCTCACTGATGATATAGAAAAATATGATCATGTAGATATAGAACACTATGGGGTCATGATAGAATGAACATAGGCTCCTGTAGTAAGAAACTATGGGGTACCGCGAGATCACTGAAGAATGAAACCAGGGCTCCCAACAGGATCACGATAGATATAGAACGTTGGACCATGATAGATATGAACATATGGACCTGGATATAGAACAAGGACTCAATAGTATAGAACTATGGACCACTGAAGATATAGAACATATGGGCTCATTTTATAGTATAGAAGCTATGGGCCATGATGATATAGAAACTATGGGTTTTTAAAAATATAGAACGCTATGGGTCACTGATTTTATATAGAAACACATGGACTACTGTAGTATTTTAAAGCATGGGCTCCGATAGATTAGAACCCCTATGGGTGATGATATAGAACGTATGGGGTCACTGTGATATAGAAACTATGGACCACCGTCTCCCGTTGTGGGTCAACTGTTTGGGGATCTACGGTAAGCTCATAATGTAAAATAACGTAACAGGTGAAATGAAGAACGCCAACCAGCTTTATCGCCTAACATACTGTACAAGTTGACGGCAGGTATTAACTTCAAAAGTAGCTACAAATATTCACATTTATATATATTTATATATAAAAACAGATATATAGTTGTTACAAGAATTTATATCTCTAATTCAACCTAAGCTTGAATCATTACCAGAGGTTGTAAGGCTCTGGTTTTAATCATCAATGATTCAAAGGTCCACAACCCACAAGGATTATCTGTATCTTTATTCATGGAGAGCTCTGCCGCCCAAAACACATACATACTGTTTTATACTCCTTCCACACCAAGGCACCCTGCTCCGCCCACCTCTAGGAGGCCCCCTCCCCTGTAACCCATTTTCTCAGTCCCTTTCACCCTGGAATGTTTAGTCCCGCCCCCCTCTGTTAGTAGGTTGACAATACATTATAATTCTAACACAGTTCACACATTTATACTGTATTTGGGGTGAAATCCTTTAGTCATTATTCTTAAAAATACAAATTAATCTAACAATAGTTTTGAAGGTATTGAAAGTTTACTGCTCCAGCTACTTTAACACTAACGCTCCCAATATAGGCTGTAATGTGTTGAGGTGGATGAGATGAGACCCACCGTCTCTGTTTGTGTCCATCTGTCTGAAGATCTTCTCTGTTCTCTTCTCTGGAGTCGACTCATCCTCTGGCATCTTCATCACAGATGACACCATCTTATAGATCGCCTGGAGAATAAAACACACAGACACCATCTTATAGATCTCCTGGAGAACAAACACACAGACACCATCTTATAGATCTCCTGGAGAATAAAACACACAGACACCATCTTATAGATCTCCTGGAGAATAAAACACACAGACACCATCTTATAGATCTCCTGGAGAATAAAAACACACAGACACCATCTTATAGATCGCCTGGAGAATAAAACACACAGACACCATCTTATAGATCTCCTGGAGAATAAAACACACAGACACCATCTTATAGATCTCCTGCAGAATAAAACACACAGACACCATATTATACACTGAACAAAAATATAAACGCAACATGTAAAGTGATTCATGAACTGAAATAAAAAGGTCCCAGAAATTGTCCATACGCACAAAAAACGTATTTCTCTCAAATTTGGTGCACAAATTTGTTTACATCCCTGTTTATTGAATATTTCTCCTTTGCCAAGATAATCCATCCACCTGACAGGTGTGGCTTATCAAGAAGCTGATTAAACAGCATGATCATTACATAGGTGCACCTTGTGCTGAGGACAATAAAAGGCCACTCTAAAATGTGCAGTTTTGTCACACAACATAATGCAACAGATGTCTCAAGTTTTGAGGGAGCGTGCAATTAGCATGCTGACTGCAGGAATGTCCACCAGAGCTGTTGCAAGATAATTTAATGTTAATTTCTCTACCATAAGCCGCCTCCAACATCATTTTAGAGAATTTGGCAGTACGTCCAACCGGCCTCACGACCGCAGACCACGTGTAACCACGCCAACCCAGGACCTCCCCAGACCACGTGTAACCACGCCAGCCCAGGACCTCCACGTCCGGCTCCTTCACCTGCGGATCGTCTGAGACCAGCCACCCGGACAGCTGATGAAACTGTGGGTTTGCACAACCGAAGAATTTCTGCACAAACTGTCAGAAACCGTCTCAGGGAAGCTCATCTGCGTGCTCGTCGTCCTCACCAGGGTCTTGACCTGACTGCAGTTCGGCGTCGTAACTGACTTCAGTGGACAAATGCTCACCTTCGATGGCCACTGGCACACTGGAGAAGTGTGCTCTTCATGGATGAATCCCGGTTTCAACTGTACCGGGCAGTATGGCGTTGTGTGGGTGAGCGGTTTGCTGATGTCAATGTTGTGAACAGAGTGCCCCATGGTGGCGGTGGGGTTATGGTACGGGCAGGCATAAGCTACAGACAACGAACACAATTGCATTTTATCAATGGCAATTTGAATGCACAGAGATACCGTGACGAGATCCTGAGGCCCATTGTCGTGCCATTCATCCGCCGCCATCACCTCATGTTTCAGCATGATAATGCACGGCCCCATGTCGCAAGGATCTGTACACAATTAATGGAAGCTGAAAATGTCCCAGTTCTTCCATGGCCTGCATACTCACCAGACATATCACCCATTGAGCATGTTTGGGATGCTCTGGATCGACGTGTACGACAGCGTGTTCCAGTTCCCGCCAATATCCAGTAACTTCGCACAGCCATTGAAGAGGAGTGGGACAACATTCCACAGGCCACAATCAACAGCCTGATCAACTCTATGCGAAGGAGATGTGTCACGCTGCATGAGGCAAATTGTGATTACACCAGATACTGACTGGTTTTCTGATCCACACCCCTACCTTTTTTTTTTAAAGGTATCTGTGACCAACAGATGCATCTCTGTATTCCCAGTCATGTGAAATCCATAGATTAGGACTGTAACTCAGTAAAATCTTTTAAATTGTTGCATGTTGCGTTTATATTTTTGTTCAGTATAGATATCTACAAATAACTAATGAAGCTCTCGCTAAATGTTCCATGATGATAACAATTTTATGTCACACGATATCTTCACTTTGCAACACAACGTGGTCTGGCCGGTTCTGTTGGAGGAATATGGTCCAAGCAACGGCCTGCCAAGGACAATTACATTGTCAAGAAATACTTGAATCCCTAGTAAAGTATTTTTTCTCCAAGTGTTTCTCTACTAGATAGATGGCCATAGCAAAGTCTTTAGAGTACATGTCCTGTTGATACAGCGGGACTGTCTGCCAGCGGGCTGGGAGCTAGGACTGCTATGTCTTATGGATAAAGACAGTGTTGCTGCTGTTTCAAAACCGATCTGGCCACTTTCTGTCTGGGGGCATCTGCAATTTTTTTTTACCAGGAATTAACATGAGTATATATTGCAATAGACACTGGAATGTGCAGGCGTACGGGAGTGAAATCCAACAGTAGGATTGTTGCTGATCAACAAATAAATCAGTCAACATGAACCACGATACAGAAGACAACCAGTCGACTATACACTACTGAAGGTCAATCCTCGCCTGTACGATCTCCAGCATCTCTGACTTGCTGATGTATCCGTTCCCGTCCAGGTCGTACACGCTGGGCCTACAAATAACTCACACCAGAACTACAAATCCCACCTCTCTGTTCCTGTCTCACCTGTACGATCTCCAGCATCTCTGCCTTGCTGATGTATCCGTTCCCGTCCAGGTCGTACACGCTGGGCCTACAAATAACTCACACCAGAACTACAAATCCCACCTCTCTGTTCCTGTCTCACCTGTACGATCTCCAGCATCTCAGACTTGCTGATGTATCCGTTCCCGTCCAGGTCGTACATGCTGAAGGCCCACTTCAGTTTCTGCTCCAGCTTGCCCCGTGACGTGACGCTCAGAGCGATGATGAACTCCCGGAAGTCTATGGTCCCGTCCCCGTTGGCGTCGAAGGTGCGGAAGACGTGCTCGGCGAACTTGGAGGCGTCTCCGTAGGGGAAGAAGTTACCGTAGATCTTCTTGAACTCCTCCATGGAGAGGTTCCCGCTGGGGCAGTCCCTCAGGAAGCCCTTGTACCACTCCTGGATCTCATGCTCTGTGAAGTCCGTGCTCTCCAGCAGGTCCTGCATCACCTCTGGGCGGAGTTTGCTGTTCTGCTTCCCCATGGCTGGTGGTTACTATGGTAACAGCTAGAAGAGAGTGAGGAAACAGAAACTGAGAATAATTGGAGAAAGGAGAGGAAGAGAGGAGAGGAGAGGAAGAGAGGAGAGGAGAGGAGGAGAGGAGATGAGGCGAGAGGAGATGAGGCGAGGAGGAGAGAGGAGAGGAAGAGAGAGGAGAGGAGAGGAGAGGAGAGGAGAGGAGAGGAGAGGAGAGGAGAGGAGAGGAGAGGAGAGGAGAGGAGAGGAGAGGAGGAGAGAGGAGGAGAGAGGAGAGGAGGAGAGAGGAGAGGAGCAGCAAAGTAAGCAGACATAACTGTTTTTCTCTACTACTATGCAACCAACCGGCTGTATCCTCCTAAGGTATCCTCATTGTGGAATGAGGGAGAAGTGTACTTCACTGTGCCCAGGAATGTTCACATGCTCAATGTAACCAAACGTATTCTTATGTCTGAAGTGACGGAACATTTCATGCAGCAGACAGACACCCATATGTCCATCTACTGAATGTACTGCAGTAGAAAACACTTGGAGACAGACACTACTGAATGTACTGCTGTAGAAAACACTTGGAGACAGACACTACTGAATGTACTGCAGTAGAAAACACTTGGAGACAGACACTACTGAATGTACTGCAGTAGAAAACACTTGGAGACAGACACTACTGAATGTACTGCAGTAGAAAACACTTGGAGACAGACACTACTGAATGTACTGCTGTAGAAAACACTTGGAGACAGACACTACTGAATGTACTGCTGTAGAAAACACTTGGAGACAGACACTGCTGAATGTACTGCTGTAGAAAACACTTGGAGACAGACACTGCTGAATGTACTGCTGTAGAAAACACTTGGAGACAGACACTACTGAATGTACTGCTGTAGAAAACACTTGGAGACAGACACTACTGAATGTACTGCAGTAGAAAACACTTGGAGACAGACACTACTGAATGTACTGCTGTAGAAAACACTTGGAGACAGACACTACTGAATGTACTGCTGTAGAAAACACTTGGAGACGGACACTGCTGAATGTACTGCTGTATAAAACACTTGGAGACAGACACTACTGAATGTACTGCTGTAGAAAACACTTGGAGACAGACACTGCTGAATGTACTGCAGTAGAAAACACTTGGAGACAGACACTACTGAATGTACTGCAGTAGAAAACACTTGGAGACAGACACTACTGAATGTACTGCAGTAGAAAACACTTGGAGACAGACACTACTGAATGTACTGCAGTAGAAAACACTTGGAGACAGACACTACTGAATGTACTGCAGTAGAAAACACTTGGAGACAGACAATACTGAATGTACTGCAGTAGAAAACTCTTGGAGACAGACACTACTGAATGTACTGCAGTAGAAAACACTTGGAGACAGACACTACTGAATGTACTGCAGTAGAAAACACTTGGAGACAGACACTACTGAATGTACTGCAGTAGAAAACACTTGGAGACAGACACTACTGAATGTACTGCAGTAGAAAACACTTGGAGACAGACACTGCTGAATGTACTGCTGTAGAAAACACTTGGAGACAGACACTGCTGAATGTACTGCTGTAGAAAACACTTGGAGACAGACACTACTGAATGTACTGCTGTAGAAAACACTTGGAGACAGACACTACTGAATGTACTGCAGTAGAAAACACTTGGAGACAGACACTGCTGAATGTACTGCTGTAGAAAACACTTGGAGACAGACACTGCTGAATGTACTGCAGTAGAAAACACTTGGAGACAGACACTACTGAATGTACTGCAGTAGAAAACACTTGGAGACAGACACTACTGAATGTACTGCAGTAGAAAACACTTGGAGACAGACACTACTGAATGTACTGCAGTAGAAAACACTTGGAGACAGACTACTGAATGTACTGCTGTAGAAAACACTTGGAGACGGACACTGCTGAATGTACTGCTGTAGAAAACACTTGGAGACAGACACTACTGAATGTACTGCTGTAGAAAACACTTGGAGACAGACACTGCTGAATGTACTGCTGTAGAAAACACTTGGAGACAGACACTACTGAATGTACTGCAGTAGAAAACACTTGGAGACAGACACTACTGAATGTACTGCAGTAGAAAACACTTGGAGACAGACACTACTGAATGTACTGCAGTAGAAAACACTTGGAGACAGACACTGCTGAACGCTAGCTTGTCTTGAGTACACACTGAGCGGACTGAAAAAGGCACTGCAATCATACTACAGAACTATAACAGTTGACTGAGATATGATTCACAGCTACCTGGCTCCTCCTCGTGATGAGACAGAGACGGAAATTCACAAATCCACAAGTCACCACTTCAGAGCAAGTCACCACTTCATAACTCTTTACAAACCCAACTTCACAAAGCTCATAAGTGATTTACCGATCAAGAGAAACAAGACGCACTTTAGCTAAGTTTAGCTCCAAACCCAACTTCATCAAGTTCCTAAGTGATTTCCGTCTGGAGAAAGACACAGTGCAGCTCCTGAGAAGGGCTTGTAGAATGTCTACTACGTACCAGACAAGAGTCGGCGGAGTAGAGGAGTACGTCCTCTGGAGATGTTCATCCTCCTCTCCGCAGCCGGAAAGTCTGTCTCATATCACAATGTCTCTGACATTTACTGCAACAGGAAGTGAGTTTCCCCTCTCTCTCCGTCTCCCTCTCTCTTTCTGCTAGGTCATCGCTCTCTCTGCGAGGTCAGGTCTCTCTCTCTCTGCTAGGTCATCGCTCTCTCTCTCTGCTAGGTCATCGCTCTCTCTCTCTGCTAGGTCATCGCTCTCTCTCTCTGCTAGGTCATCGCTCTCTCTCTCTGCTAGGTCATCTCTCTCTCTCTCTGCTAGGTCATCTCTCTCTCTCTGCTAGGTCATCTCTCTCTCTCTGCTAGGTCATCTCTCTCTCTCTGCGAGGTCATCTCTCTCTCTTTGCTAGGTCATCTCTCTCTCTCTCTGCTAGGTCATCTCTCTCTCTCTGCTAGGTCATCTCTCTCTCTCTGCGAGGTCATCTCTCTCTTTGCTAGGTCATCTCTCTCTCTCTCTGCTAGGTCATCTCTCTCTCTCTGCTAGGTCATCTCTCTCTCTCTGCTAGGTCATCTCTCTCTCTCTGCGAGGTCAGGTCTCTCTCTGCGAGGTCAGGTCTCTCTCAATTAAATTCCATTCAAAGGGCTTTATTGGCATGGGAACAAACTATATATACAAAAGCATGTGGACACCCCTTCAAATTAGTGGATTCGGCTATTTCAGCCACACCCGTTGCTGACAGGCGTATAAAATCGAGCACACAGCCATGCAATCTTACTGAAGTGCTCAGTGACATTCAACGTGGCACCGTCATAGGATGCCACCTTTCCAACAAGTCAGTTCGTCACATTTCTGCCCTGCTAGAACTGCCCCGGTCAACTGCAAGTGCTGTTATTGAAGTGGAAACGTCTAGGAGCAACAACGGCTCAGCCACGAAGTTGTAGGCCACACAAGCTCACAGAACGCGAGTGCCGAAGCGCGTAAAAATCGTCTGTCCTCGGTTGCAACACTCACTACCGAGTTCCAAACTTCCTCTGGAAGCAACGTCAGCACAAGAACTGTTCATAGGGAGCTTCATGAAACGGGTTTCCATGGCCGAGCAGCCACACACAAGCCTAAGATCACCATGCGCAAAGCCAAGTGTCGGCTGGAGTGGTGTAAAGCTCGCCACCATTGGACTCTGGATCAGTGGAAACGCATTCTCTGGAGTGATGAATCACGCTTCACCATCTGACAGTCCGACAGACAAATCTGGGTTTGGCAGATGCCAGGAGAACGCTACCTGCCCCAATGCATAGTGCCAACTGTAAAGTTTGGTGGAGGAGGAATAATGGTTTGGGGCTGTTTTTCATGGTTTGGGCTAGGACCCTTCGTTCCAGTGAAGGGAAATCTTAACGCTACAGCATACAATGACATTCTAGACGATTCTGTGCTTCCAACTTTGTGGCAACAGTTTGGGGAAGGCCCTTTCCTATTTCAGCATGACAATGCCCCTGTGCACAAAGCGAGGTTCATACAGAAATGGTTTGTCGAAATCAGTGTGGAAGAACTTGACTGGCTGCACAGAACCCTGACCTCAACCCCACAGAACACCTTTGGGTTGAATTGGAATGCCGACTGTGAGCCAGGCCTAATCACCCAACATCAGTGCCCAACCTCACTAATGCTCTTGTGGCTGAATGGAAGCAAGTCCCCGCAGCAATGTTCCAACATCTAGTGGAAAGCCTTCCCAGAAGAGTGGAGGCTGTTATAGCAGCAAAGGGGGGACCAACTCCATATTAATGCCCATGATTTTGGAATGAGATGTTCGACGAGCAGGTGTCCACATACTGTACTGTCAATCTAATATCCAGTCAAGGCCTGGATGTATCCAGTACCTCTATATAATGACTAGCATACAGTCTATCAATCTAATATCCAGTCAAGGCCTGGATGTATCCAGTACCTCTCTAATAATGACTAGTGTACAGTCTATCAATCTAATATCCAGTCAAGGCCTGGATGTATCCAGTACCTCTATATAATGACTAGCACACAGTCTATCAATTTAATATCCAGTCAAGGCCTGGATGTATCCAGTACCTCTCTAATAATGACTAGTGTACAGTCTATCAATCTAATATCCAGTCAAGGCCTGGATGCATACAGTACCTCTCTAATAATGACTAGTGTACAGTCTATCAATCTAATATCCAGTCAAGGCCTGGATGTATCCAGTACCTCTCTAATAATGACTAGCACACAGTCTATCAATCTAATATCCAGTCAAGGCCTGGATGTATCCAGTACCTCTCTAATAATGACTAGTGTACAGTCTATCAATCTAATATCCAGTCAAGGCCTGGATGTATCCAGTACCTCTCTAATAATGACTAGTGTACAGTCTATCAATCTAATATCCAGTCAAGGCCTGGATGTATACAGTACCTCTCTAATAATGACTAGTGTACAGTCTATCAATCT